CCCCCCCCCCACAAAAAAAAAAAAAAAAAAAAAAAAAAGACTAATTTTGCATCATTCAGCTGTTGGTTTCCCACTGTTCATGCATTTAGAAAATAATTTGCAGAAAATTTTCAGCATAATTTGCTCGGAAATTTCTTAATCAAAAAATTTTATCCCTTTATATAGTAGCACTTTTAATGTCGTTTTGCTATACTCATCACATTGTTTCAACGCTTTGAGGCAACATCAGTAACATTAACAAAAGAACAAATTCGCTGCTGTTTAATGACTAATTGCTTTTTCATCCAAACTTTGCTTCCTCTTTTTTTATTTTTGTAATGCATTTGTATGATTGATAAGCAAAACATCGTTCTCCTCTCCCTTGCCTCCACCATCACTTCTCGTATCCTCCAGCTGTCCTTAGGAGCAAAACAGATTTTTTTTTTTTGTGAACGCTGTATAAGAAAGAAAACTTTTATCATTGTGCAGTGTTACAAATATTTTCCAGCTTTAATGTTCTTGTCAACACCATTATTTACGGAATATCTTCGTCAGAAGTCTGGCCTAAAGTAGTTCCTAAATTAAAAAAATGCCAAAACACCGCCAAAATTTTGTAAATAAGACGATTTCTCGCACAAAGTGTTTTCTTTCATACTTTTTTTTATTTGTCAAATAAAAATTGAAAAGAAAGTACTAGAAAACTACATGTGCTTATTCGTACTTTGATTTTCAAAAATATTTTCTTGGTACGGTGAACTCTTATTTAGGATTTATTTATTCATAACTCAAATTACAGGCTACCGACGTAATACTAAATCCTGGCAATTGACCTAAAGTTTAACAGTGATTTTGAACGTGTCCTACCGGTTTAATTTTGAAACACAGAGATGAAAATATGTTAATTTTGAAACTACGGTTTTTCAAAAGCTTTGCAAGACAAAACTTATCAGAAATCGAGTTTACTGTAGTCCAAAAACAAACAAAAGTACACCAGTGAGAAGCTAAGAGCAGTAAGATAGTAGTTTTGCATGTTCCACAGCAAATTTTGAAAGCAGACAAATTTATAATTTAGAAAGAGGTGGTAATGGTACAAAGACTAGGTGCAATATACAGATATATATATCCGTCAAGTTTTCACAGATGATCAAAATCAATGTGGGAAGGCTAATCCATTTTTAAAGCGTATTATTGCATTGAGCTTTGAATGAGAAAATATTGATGCTCATATATATTTTGAAAAAATCTACATCCGTCCACTTGTTTCTCTCCATTCATCTTTCAAATAAGAAAACATATGAACATAAATGTACACAGGAGTTGCAAAAAAAAACTCACATCTTCGATATTTTTCGCAACTTTAAACTAAAATTTAAATAATGAAAACGACAAGTTTTACGCCAAAAACTTTTTTCTTCATTTATTTGACTTACCGGTCGCTTCTAACTATTTCTGTAACTGCTAACAGCTACCTAAGCTGTAAATTTTTCACTAAATTCAATCAATAAACACACTCCAAACTTTAAACTGTGTCAGTAATTTACATGGTTTTGGAACCGTTTAGAAACGAAAAAATAAACGAAGATGAAAACAAGGTACACTGCAAAGTTGAAAGTATTTTCATAGCTGCTTTATGTACATCACAATTATTTGCTTAACGTAACGGCAAGGATTATGATTACAGCAATTATAACAAGCACAACTACAACAACTAAAATATAGCAGTAAATCTTCTTGTGTAAGGCACTTTTCTTATACCTTACAGCTTGGCGGGCACTCTGTGCGCCTTCTTCAACATGAGCAAATGCATTTTCGACATTTTCGTCAATCCGAGAAACAGACTCTCCCTTAATGAAAATAGACCAAGGTCAAAATAATTGTTCTCTACCTAACTCCTAATCTTGTTCTCTTTTACTAACTGCAAGAAATTGACCAAACTTGAATTTTTAATTAAATTCAGAAATTTGCTTCAGAAGCAATTATCGTATATAATTAGTTGCCCTTAAACTAAATAGCTATTTCCTTTAAATCTAAAAAGTCTGTTGGAAAAAAAAGAAGAATGTGTAATTAATTCAGTAACAACCTGTGAATGTACAAGAAATGCAATATCGTTATACATTTCGTTAAGTTCAGACACACTCTGCTCCAGCCTTAGTATTTCAGCATGTCTTGAAGAAGCATCTGCTATAGCAGACTGCGCTGCTGCAGATGACATTCCCCTAAAAAATTATTAAATATAGTTTCCAAACAACATTCAACTTACTAAAAAGTACTCTTTGAAACCTTTAAAATTAAGCGCTTTAAACAGAAATAAACCACCTTCTAAACAGATAGAAAAGCTTTAAAAAATAAGTTGCAAATCATGTCAGCATCATAAATATTTGCTTCTAATGTTTTTATATGGTTTAGCCGCATACTTTCAGTCACTAGTAAAGTAAAAGACACGAAAAACCTGTAAAATATTTGAGTAGATTTGGAGTCCAACATGGACTCAATTTCGGCGTCCGATGCCCTTTCACCTGCCAATTCCAGCTGACGTTTAATTCGTCCTACAAATAAAGACATCAAGCTTATTCAAAATTTCTTTTCAGTCTTTTACTACTGATGTCAGTACTGACGTTAACATATCCAAAAGAAAATTATCTATGTTAGAACCGCTCAGGCCAAATATTAAAAACAAATTTACTTGCGACTCGTTGCCTGTAATCCGTCTGAGCTGCAGTGAATTGCTCGATGAGATCAGAAAGTTTCTTCATTAAAGATTCCATTTGATGCTTTCGAATCCGCATATCAGCTGAATTCCAAGAGGCATTTAAGTGCTTTTCATCTTGCTCTAAACTTGTTTTCATACTTATTAGGCGAGGTTTCAAGTTCTGAATTTGCTGCTTTATTGCTCCTATATAATTGTCCAATTCAACCTGTAAATGAATTACATTACAGGTAATTAACAGGTGGTTTAACATTAATACTCCAAAAAGAAAAACCGCTTTGACAAAAATAGGCAAGATAATGTTTTTAACATTTTTTAATGTACCAATTCGATATTGCAAATAAAAAAGTACACCAATTCGGTAAGAAATAAAAATCAAAAACCTTCTGCGCATCGTCGACTGTCGGTTTAGCTAAAACATCCGATTGTTTTCCATTAAGGCTCTGAATATTATTCGACAAATCTTCCATTAATTTACGTACTTCAAAGACATCGTTGAAGAACGAATCTGTTGTCCCATCACTAACAGATCCATTTTCAAGAACTTCCAAATTCACCTCATTTGATGCAACTTTCCTCTTAAAAGAATTAATGCTCACCAGAGAAATAGATTTTTAGGAAGTAAGATAGCCTCGTAAAATTAACCACTACAAGATCATCATTATAAATCTTTATTTATGAAATAATTTTTTTGAAGAAAATAATAATTAAAGCTTATAAAAAATATACCCTAAATTCGCTTGATCTATCTCGTACCATTTGCCAAAATACTAGATCTGAACAGCCACGTAAAGGCTCTGTATTTCTTCCTGGGCTTGAAAACCCTCACAAAAATTGACAAAAGCAGTGCGCTTAAATTTGTAAGAAACACGGCTGCACTTCTTACAATACTGTGAATAACACTGAAATGACAGTAGTCGTAAAAAATTAACAAGATAAGTTCACTCTCCAAGTACCAAAATAATCAATAGTGCTAAATGCATGATTAGTGCAACAACTGACTGAACACCAGTGAACAATAGCCTCTATAAGAACTCGTAAAACGGTTTCTTTTTTTAGCATCTTTAGCTGCCTACTATTCGTACTTTCCAACTAAATAAATTTTTTTTCTCCATTTTTCAAAAACAACACTTCTACAGCAAAAAAACTTCTTTTTTTTGCAAATTATTCTTCAGTTATTTTTTGACAGTAATATCAGGAATCTAAAGTTCAAAACACATGTACAGTAAAAACTTTTCAACCGTTTTGGCGCGGACAAATAAAGTCTTTGAAGATATAAAATCTACGATTAAGCAACAATAGCCTAGCTTTACCAACAATTTAAAATAAGTTTTAAACTTTTTTTTAATCCATATGTATTAAAGTTCCGTTTTCACACACATATAATTGCCTCACCACCTCAACTGTTGTTACTAATTCACTAAATCGAAGAAGATATCGTTAACTGAGATTGATTTATGTAACTTCCGCAGTGCGTTTCAAAAAAAAAAGCAGTATTATAAAACAACGACTACTCTACAAAGAGTTTTTAACAGATTGTAACAAATTAGCCTATATCAACTACGCCGCTTCCCTTATCCCATTCCTTATAACAAATGACTTTAACCTCTTTTGGAAATTACTGAACTGGAACGACTGAACGATAAAGTTTACTTTTAATTGACCCTTAAATCGCTCTTTGTCGAAGAAGATCCTTCAAATAATTAAGTGGTTCAATCTACTATGCTGTTTTTCCCTCTATCAATGATCGCTTCTGCTTAGAATATCCCCTAAAATGAAACCTTAAAGAAATATTCAAACGAAAAGCATAACAAGAACAATAGCAGCTGCAATAAATGATAAATCATTTACTAACAAACAAACGACTGAGACACTGCGTTAACCATATATTTACTACAATGTAAAGTCAACAAACATTTTAGACAACTTTAAATTTTCAATGTTTACAAGAAAAGCTGTAAAAAAACTGTCCTCCATCGATTTTTCAAAAGATGTGGAAGAAAAGAAACTTTACTACAAACATTGTTGTCGAGAGAAAAACTTCGTTCACGAAAACATGATGGGAAGTAATTTCCTAAATTACTTTACCAAACGGCCAACTAATACTAAATATTTGTTACTTATGACAGTTTACTGTTCCTAGTTCCTTAAATTCCACAACAAAGTAACATCTTGTTATTCATGAGCTGCCGTCATAAATTGCTGCACATGCTGTTTAGATGCCGTCTGATGATATAGCAACGATAACAATATGTAAGATCAAAGGAAATAAACTAGATCAAAAAAATTTGCTTGTTAAACTCGTTTTTAATCCCTTTCCTCTTTTCCGCATTGATGATTAAAATTCTGTTCGAAAAAAAAAGGTAAAAAACAGCTTTTTTTTTAATTATAAAGTCTCTTTATTATTCAGTAAATGACTGACATTGATGACGGTTTAAAGTAAAAAACACTCGTTTTTCAACAACATTAATTTACATTAACAACATACAGTACTCTACTGTTTAAAGCTAGAAGGCTGAACAATAAACTATAAGAATTCATTTTTGAACTTCTTGTTATTGTCATGCATTAACTGTAAGGAAAATTTTCTATTTTATTTCACCAGCACCTCAAAACTAAAAAAAGTAACCAGAATAACTCAGGAAAGAAATCGTCTTCTGGGAACTGTTAAAAACGGCGCACAATTTCAAGTGTCCCACAGAGAAAGCATATTCATCGTATCACCAACTGTCAAAGCTTCGATCTTGAAATTGAAAAGTTAGCAGTATCATCTGACTATTTCTCATCTCTACTACACTTCCATGAGGTTGATCTAGTTCGCTGAGTAAATTAAGAAGAATTTTTTTGACGACTGTTAGAACATTAACCGATATCAGAGAATTTGACTGGCTGATTATACACATAAATACTGTAACCAAATAATACCAGGAATTGAAATGAAAATACAATCCTTGTCTTAGGGGTTTGTTTTTTCAAATGTGTAAGTCAATTTACACTAAAGCTCGGTAAAATCACTGTCTAGCGCAACCTAAATTCATACAATCCATTAAATCGTACCAAGTTGCAGCTATGAATGAAAACCTTGTCAAAACCGCCTGCATGATGACTCATGAAAGAAATCGTTGCTGTTAGTCAGAGCTGAACACTACTAAAAAAACAAAACGCTTTGTTTTAAAAAAAGTAAACATTAAGAGTTTTGCACTAACCTCAGCATTAACTCAAAGCCACAAGTAACCAGAAGTTGTTAAAGACAAATCTCTACTACGTTTTTGCTCACTCCTAACTTTAAAACTTCCTCGCCCTATAGTTTTTACTAATAAATACGGCAAAAAAAGTACACAAATAAATAAAACGGAAGTCAACAATTGACGTTATTCAACTTCCAAAGTTTCCACTTCCTTCATCGATAATACCCAACAAAATTAGAAATCCTCGTTTATTTCATCGGTATTAAAAAAAATAAAATGCCCTCGATGAGAGTAGTAGCAGCAGTTCGTGTCGGGTTCAAATCAGTCTTCTGAAACAAAAAACTAAGCCAAGAAGTCGAAACAGCACAAAGAAAAAGTCAAAACATTGTGCCGACCGATTAGTATTTGCTGTATTTTTGCAAGCAAATTTTGCCAACAAACTTCACCATCTTTACTCACAAACAACTGAATTTTTTTTTTGAAACAATTAAAACAATTTGTACACTTTTTACAAGCTTCTGGCAAAATATGTAACCAATGAAAAAAAGACACCGATAATCAGCGACCTGAATCATCATTAAAAAAATTTGTAAATAATTGTCGGAAGACATAAAATCACAAACCCAAAATTTTTCGTTGGCATCTCTTTTGCTGTCAATAACGTTATTCATAAAAAAAATTTGTGGACAAATACAAGAGACATCAAAATTTTTTGCGATCATGAATGTAAGAACAAATGGATAAGGAAAACTGAAGCAGTCGAAAAGACATACCACTGGACTTGGTTTTCTTAATAAAGTCTCAGCAGCATAAACAGATATTTAGTAGACAAATGCATAATGCACTATTAAGCACTGTTTTAATGAAGTTCAGAAACCTTCATTGAAAATTCTCAACGCATGTGGCAGTGATTTGACTGGTTGATAAATCTTGAATGCGATGGCCTAATCTTTGAAATTTTTTACCTTTTCCGGAATAAACTATAAGATACGGAGAAAAAGTCGCCAGAATTAGAAATATGGTATAAAAGTTTAGCAAAAAGCACTAAAGACAAGAGAAAACAATATTATTTCTCTTTGGCCAAAGGTAGGAAGAGAACATACCAAAAATTGCAAGTTTTTCGATGTGAATCATGAAAATAAACAATCTCTCACAACTCACTTTTTTCCTTTAGCATTTTCAATAAAAACTTAAGCTTGTGTAAACAGAAAGCAAACGGTTAAACGATACATTATATTTGCTATTTATGAACCACCACCAAAATATTTTACCCTTGAAAAACTGCTGCTGCTGACGTAACAGCTGACGGAGATGATGCGGTGTGACGTGACAGTAATGATGAAGACGTCGCAGATAAGAAGAACACAGTTGGCCATGATTAATATGAGCACAAATTTTTCAAAAGTTTTTAATCAGTGATCTAACAGCAGAAAAAAAAAAAAAAAAAA